TTGGGGGATTATAAGTATTTATGGAAAAATACATAACTAAAGCTAGGAATGGGAAAACAAAAAAAGAAGCTAGTAATGGGGGATTAGTGTTTTGTAAGTATGCAGCAACGTCGTTAGATTATATGCTTAATTATATGTAATAGGTTAGATTCCTATGCAAATATTTGGTAATTTATATATAAAAAAAATATTGGGTAATTCGTTTGTAAATATTATTCTTAGAGAGAAAACAAATTGGTATATTATTTGTAGTGTTCTAAACATGCTAGTCACTAGTCGTTGATCGATAATATTTTCATATTTTTTTTCTTAGTGATTCGGTAATCTATTTATTCGAGAAACTATACGATTGATTTGTTTTTTTTTTTTAATATTTGACTTTATTTATAAGAACTAAATGTGAAAAAATTCATAAAACACGATTTAAATGAAATACCAATAAACTGAATGATTAAATCTTAAAGCCAATGATAAAAAAATTTTGAACCAGGCAAATAATTGGTAAATAAATTTACATAAAAGTGGATGAGTTTAGGATGCTCTAACAACAAATGATCATACCATTGTTATTGGAGAAGAATTATTAAGTGTTATGGTCCTAGTTCATATAGATTTAGGACCAATTTTTGTTTTCATTCATGTATTACAAAAACATGTTATATCTTTTCTGTGTGTTGTAGGGGAGAAAACAAATCACCGGTATGGTATATATGTATAACATATAACTAAGAACCAACATGTCCCTTTTCAATTCTATCACAATCCTAATTAAGGACGAATGGAAAAAAGTAAATTTCTTGTTAAATGAATTGATGAAATACATAAATCGAGGGGGTTTATTTGTTTTGACAAACTTTGATAGTTATTTTTCCCAACGAAAATTCCATAAATCAATGATCCGTTGGGAAAATTTTAGCTAATCTGCTTAGTTATCAATCATCTTCCACATTTTTGCACAATCCGTCTTAAACATTATCGAAAAAAAGACATTCCATCACCCATATTATGGTTTTTAGTTATCGATTTCATAGTTAACTGAAAGCTATTCAATTGTAAGCGATCAACACTATTAAAAATAATTTTCGAAAGATACCAAATAATTTTAAAAAATAATATTTAAGAGCCATTCTAAGATATTAAATAAAAAATGAAAAAAAATATGAGAGTTTTTGTATTGTGATCCTAAGAAAAATGATGGTCGAATTTGAGAGCTTTTTGTTACATGATTTCTTTTATGTTGTTTTTTCTTTATGTAAAGAGTTTCTTAGGTTTTTTAAGTTTACATTATATAATAGTATATACTGTATATGTTACATGGTTTCTTTTATGTTGTTTTTTCTTTATGTAAAAATTTTCTTACGTTTTTTAAGTTTACAT